TCCAGCAGTCTGAGTTCAAATCTCGGTAGGACCTTTTTTTTTTTTTAAAAATAAAAAAGATTTTATGTTTTCCTTGTTTTAACTATTTGTAGATAGACAAAGAACTTAGTAACTGTGCTAAAATTTATCAGGTTCTATGGTGTAATGGTTAGCACTCTGGACTCTGAATCCAGCGTTCCTTGTTCAAGTCTCGGTAGGACCTTTTTTTCTGCTAACCATTAAAGAGGTTTATTGTTTTGCCGGTTAAAACTGATTTTAGATACACAAAATAATTATTGACCTAAGAAAGAGATGTCTGGTTGTATGGTGTAATGGTTAGCACTCTGGACTCTGAATCCAGTGATCCAAGTTCAAATCTCGGTAGGACCTTTGTTTTGGTAAAAATAAAAAAGATTTCATGTTTTCCTTGTTTTAACTGTTTAGAGACAAAGAACTTAGTAACTGTGCTAAGATTTATCAGGTTCTATGGTGTAATGGTTAGCACGCTGGACTTTGAATCCAGCAATCTGAGTTCAAATCTCGGTAGGACATTTATTTTGGTAAAAAAAAAAAGATTTCATGTTTTTCTTGTTTTAACTGTTTGTAGATAGACAAAGAACTTAGTAACTGTGCTGAGATTTATCAGGTTCTATGGTGTAATGGTTAGCACTCTGGACTCTGAATCCAGTGATCCGAGTTCAAATCTCGGTAGGACCTTTGTTTTGGTAAAATTAAAAAAGATTTAATGTTTTACCCTTTTCCACTGGTTTGAGATAGACAAACAACTTAGTAACTGTGCGAAGATTTATCAGGTTCTATGGTGTAATGGTTAGCACGCTGGACTCTAAATCCAGCAATACGAGTTCAAATCTCAGTAGGACATTTATTTTGGTAAAAATAAAAAAGATTTCATGTTTTCTTGTTTTAACTGTTTGTAGATAGACAAAGAACTTAGTAACTGTGCTAAAATTTATCAGGTGCTATGGTGTAATGGTTAGCACTCTGGACTCTGAATCCAGCGATCTGAGTTCAAATCTCGGTAGGACCTTTTCTTTCTGCTAACCAATAAAGAGGTTTTTTTTTTGCCGGTTAAAACTCATTTTAGATAGACAAAATACTTATTAATCTAAGTAAGAGTTGTCTGGTTGTATGGTGTAATGGTTAGCACTCTGGACTCCCAATCCAGTGATCCGAGTTCAAATATCAGTAGGACCTTTTTTTTGGTAAAAATAAAAAAGATTTCATGTTTTACCATTTTCCACTGGTTTTAGATAGACAAACAACTTAGTAACTGTGCGAAGATTTATCAGGTTCTATGGTGTAATGGTTAGCACGCTGGACTCTAAATCCAGCAATCTGAGTTCAAATCTCGGTAGGACATATATTTTGGTAAACATAAAAAAGATTTCATGTTTTCTTGTTTTAACTGTTTGTAGATAGACAAAGAACTTAGTAACTGTGCTGAGATTTATCAGGTTCTATGGTGTAATGGTTAGCACTCTGGACTCTGAATCCAGCGATCTGAGTTCAAATCTCGGTAGGACATTTATTTTGGTAAAAATAAAAAAGATTTCATGTTTTCTTGTTTTAACTGTTTGTAGATAGACAAAGAACTTAGTAACTGTAATAAAATTTATCAGGTTCTATGGTGTAATGGTTAGCACTCTGGACTCTGAATCCAGCGATCTGAGTTCAAATCTCGGTAGGACCTTTTCTTTCTGCTAACCAATAAAGAGGTTTATTGTTTTGCCGGTTAAAACTCATTTTAGATAGACAAAATACTTATTAATCTAAGTAAGAGTTGTCTGGTTGTATGGTGTAATGGTTAGCACTCTGGACTCCCAATCCAGTGATCCGAGTTCAAATATCAGTAGGACCTTTTTTTTTGGTAAAAATAAAAAAGATTTCATTTTTTCCTTGTTTTAACTGTTTGTAGATAGACAAAGAACTTAGTAACTGTGCTAAGATTTATCAGGTTCTATGGTGTAATTGTTAGCACTCTGGACTCTGAATCTAGCGAACTGAGTTCATATCTCAGTAGGACCTTTTTTCTGCTAACAATAAAAAAATTTCAGTGTTTTGCTGGCTAAAACTGGTTGAAGATAGACATAGGACGTATTATCTCAAATATTAAATGTCTGGTTCTATCGTGTAATGGTTAGCACTCTGGACTTTGAATCCAGCGATCTGAGTTCAAATCTCGGTAGGACCATTTTTTTTGTTAAAAAAAACAAATATTTCATGTTTTCCTTGTTTCAACTGGTTAGAGATAGACAAAAAACTTAGTATCTCAGATAAGAAAAGTGTGGTTCTATTGTGTAATGGTTAGCACTCTGCACTTTGAATCCAGCGTTTCGAGTTCAAATCTCGGTAGGACCTTTTTTTTCTGCTAACCATTAAAGAGGTTTATTGGTTTACCGGTTAAAACTGATTTTAGATAGACAAAACACTTATTAACTAAAGTAAGAAATGTCTGGGTGGGTGGTGTAATGGTTAGCACTCTGTACTCTGAATCCAGTGATCCGAGTTCAAATCTCGGTTGGACCTTTGTTTTGGTAAAAATAAAAAAGATTTCATGTTTTACCCTTTTCAACTGGTTTTAGATAGACAAAGAACTTAGAAACTGTGCTAAGATTTATCAGGTTCTATGGTGTAATGGTTAGCACTCTGGACTCTGAATCCAGTGATCCGAGTTCAAATCTCGGTAGAACCTTTTTTTCTGCTAACAATAAGAAAAATATTGTGTTTTGCTGGTGAAAACTGGTTGAAGATAGACATAGGACTTATTATCTCAACTATTAAGTGTGTGGTTCTATGGTGTAATGGTTAGCACTCTGGACTTTGAATGCAGCGGTCCGAGTTCAAATCTCAGTAGGACTTTTTTTTCTGCTAACCATTAAAGAGGTTTATTGTTTTGCCGGTTAAAACTGATTTTAGATAGAAAAAATACTTATTAACTAAATTACAATCAGCAATCTGAGTTCAAATCTTGGTAGGACCTTTATTTTGGTAAAAAGAAAAAAGAGTTCATGTTTTCCTTTTTTTAACTGATTGGAGACAAAAAAAACTTAGTAACTGTGCCAAGATTTGTCAGGTTCTATGGTGTAATGGTTAGCCCTCTGGACTCTATATCAAGTGATCCGAGTTCAAATATCAATAAGACCTTTGTTTTGGTAAAAATAAAAAAGAGTTCAAATCTCAAAGCTAAAATTTAGCAGGTACTATGGTGTAAGCGTTAGCTCCCTGGATTCTGAATCCATGGATTTGAGTTCAAATCTCGGTAGGACCATTTAAAAAAAAATATATATATATATATATATTTCATGTTTTCCTTGTTTCAACTGGTTTTAGATAGACAAAGATCTTAGTAACTGTGTGAAGATTTATCAGGTTCTATTGTGTAATGGTTAGCACTCTGGACTTTGAATGCAGCGGTCCGAGTTCAAATCTCGGTAGGACTTTTATTTTGGTAAAAATAAAAAAGATTTCATGTTTTCCTTGTTTTAACTGTTTGTAGATAGACAAAGAACTTAGTAACTGTGCTAAGATTTATCAGGTTCTATGGTGTAATGGTTAGCATTTTGGACTCTGAATCCAGCGATCCGAGTTCAAATCTCGGTAGGACCTTTTTTTTCTGCTAACCATTAAAGAGGTTTAATGTTCTGCCGGTTAAAACTGATTTTAGATAGACAAAATACTTATTAACTAAAGTAAGAGTTGTTTGGTTGCATGGTGTAATGGTTAGCACTCTGGACTCTGAATCCAGTGATCCAAGTTCAAATCTCGGTATGACCTTTGTTTTGGTAAAACTAAAAAAAGATTTCATGTTTTACCCTTTTCCACTGGTTTTAGATAGACAAACAACTTAGTAACTGTGCAAAGATTTATCAGGTTCTATATTGTAATGGTTAGCACTCTGGACTCTGAATCCAGCGATCCGAGTTCAAATCTCGGTAGGACCTTTTTTTTCTGCTAACCATTAAAGAGGTTTATTGTTTTGCTGGTTAAAACTGATTTTAGATAGACAAAATACTTAATGACCTAAGTAAGATTTGTTTGGTTGTATGGTGTAATGGTTAGCACTCTGGACTCTGAATCCAGCAATCCGAGTTCATATCTTGGTAGGACCTTTATTTTGGTAAAAAGAAAAAAAATTCATGTTTTCCTTGTTTTAACTGTTTAGAGACAAAAAACTTAGTAACTGTGCCAAGATTTATCTGGTTCTATGGTGTAATGGTTAGCACTCTGGACTCTGAATCCAGTGATCTGAGTCCAAATCTCAGTAGGACCTTTATTTTGGTAAAAATAAAAAAGATTTAATGTTTTACCCATTTCGGTAGAACTTTTTTTCTGCTAACCATAAAAGAGGTTTATTGTTTTGCCGGTTAAAACTGATTTTAGATAGACAAAAGACTTATTATCTAAAGAAAGTGTCGAATGGTTGCCTGGTGTAATGGTTAGCACTCTTGGCTCTGAATCCAGTGATCCAAGTTCAAATATCAGTTGGACCTTTTTTTTGGTAAAAATAAAAAAAATTTCATGTTTTCCTTGTTTTAACTGTTTGTAGATAGACAATGAACTTAGTAACTATGCTAAGCTGTATTAGGTTCTATGGTGCAATGGTTAGCACTCTGGACTTTGAATCCAGCGAACCGAGTTCAAAGCTCTGAAGGGACCTTTTTTTCTGCTAACCATAAAAGATGTTCATTGTTTTGCCGGTTAAACTGATTTTAGATAGACAAAATACTTATTAACTAAAATAAGAGTTGTCTGGTTGCGTGGTGTAATGGTTAGACCTCTGGACTCTGAATCCAGTGATCTGAGTTCAAATCTCAGTAGGACCTTTGTTTTGCTAAAAATAAATATTTCATGTTTTCCTTGTTTTAACCTCTTAAGCCCGAGAGTCCCCGGTACCGGGGACTTGCCCCCTTGTGCGTTACATTTTCACTCATAGCTCACGAACCCTGAGAATAACCCACACATATTAAATACTGTTGTGTTCAGCGGAAACTCCTCTAAAAACGCATCTAATTCAATTTCATATCCGTTAACCACAGCTCGAACGCCATGCAAATAAATAACAACATGTCCGGAGTATAATTCATGACCACGTTTTTGTTTATGTGCGATATGTATCCACAATATAAACGGAAAC